TCTGTTGGCCATTTGGATGTCTTCTTTGGAAAAATGTCTGTTCATGTCTTCTGCCCATTTCTTGACTGGATTATTTGTTCTTTGGGTGTTGAGTTTGATAAGTTCTTTATAGATTTTGGATACTAACCTTTTATCTGATATGTCATTTGCAAATATCTTCTCCCATTCTGTCAGTTGTCTTTTGGTTTTGTTGACTGTTTAGTAGATTTCCTATTTTTAAGGCCCAAAGGGGCTTACAGCTATTTTTATGCTTTTGTTCTTCTCTCAATGATCAAGTAGCTCAAAGTAAATTTAAGAATTGGTGGTTAGTAGTTGCTTCATATAAAATTTAGAAAATGTGTTGCATAAAAAAGGAAATTTCAGATGAGCATAAGGAAAAATACCTGAAATCTCCAGTCTAGAGAGATATCAAAGTTGTGGTTATATTCTTCCAGAATTTATATATGCCTATGTGTATAATGTTATTAAAATTCAAGCTAGTTAGAATTATTGAAGGCTGTGGGCCTGAGCCCTGCTTATCTTTGTTGAAAGAGATGCACACCATTTTCCTTTTATTAAAAAAAAAAGATTTGGGGCACCTGAGTGGCTCAGTTGTTAAGCGTCTGCCTTCGGCTCAGGTCATGATCCCAGGGTCCTGGGATCGAGCCCTGCATTGGGCTCCCTACTCAGTGGGAAGCCTGCTTCTCCCTCTCACACCCTCCCTGCTTGTGTTCCCTCTCTCGCTGTGTCTTTCTGTCAAATAAATAAATAATCTTAAAAAAAAATATTCTTTTGCAGTATTATTTTATATATACCACTGTGTCATAAACATCTTTATTATTTTTTCACATATACTTTTTATATAAACATCTTTAATATTATTGATTATTTGCATTAACATTTTAATTGAGTTAATCCAGTGTTACCCAAAGTATGTAATGCATACTTCTGATTTTAGGTGGTGACAGGATATTTTAGGTGATAGCCTGATCCAGTATTAATTAATAGTGAATAGGGGCACCTGGGTGGCTCAGATGGTTGATCGTCTGCCTTCGGCTCAGGTCATGCATAATCCTGGGGTCCTGGGATGGAGCCCCACATCAGGCTTCTGGCTCAGCGGGGAGCCTACTTCTCCCTCTCCCGCTGCCTCTTCCCCACTCATGCGCTCTCTCTCTCTCTATCTCTGTGTCTCAAATGAATAAATAAAATCTTTTTAAAAATAAATAAATAATAGTGAATAGTATCATAAGAAAGTTAATACCTTTCCAGGTTTTTTTTTTTTAGACCATCTGTTTACAGTAAGCCAAAAGTCTGTTTGATGCTCATATATCCTTAATACTCCTTTAACACTTGCCTGTTTCTCTTATAACCTTCAGCAGTAACACCTAGCTAAAATTTTGATAATGTAGTATTAGTTTTCATTACATTCATTTCTGTTTACTATTTTATTTAAGGAAATCACAAGTGATACTGGCTTTTAATTTATACCAGGATAGAAAGTCTCCTTTTAAAATAAATTTAGATAAGTACACTAGTGAAAACATGTTAAGTTAATGATAAGTATAGATGGCATTAGGACATGGCAAAAATCCTGATGATGATATACAAGTGATTAGGGGATAGGAAGCACTATTGTTTGACATTTAAATTATTTCAAATTTTTTTCCCATTAGAAACAAGGCTGCAGTGATCGTTTGTGTAACTAAATCTTTTGCATGGACTAATTAAATTTAGTACAAATCAGTAGAAGTCCCAGAAATTTCACAAGGTAAACGCATTTAGACCTCTTATATTTTTATATAATCTGACATCCAGAGATTACACTCTTGCCAAGCTGTGAGTGAGAGCGCCTGTTTTCCCTATTCTACCTAACTCTGGGCTAATTTTTTTTCTTTAGACATGACATTTTCAGTTCTTCTTAATATTTGAATAGTATTTATTCAGAAGTACCTAATTTTTTTGCAATTCAGTAGTTATATTAAGGACTGTAACAACTGTCCTTTATTTAGTGATGGTTTGATTTTGTAAAGAAAATGATTCCAAAGATACTTGCTTTTTTCATAGTGGTGGTAAAGAAAAAGTATCTCTAATGATAAGGACAATGTCTTTTTTTCTGTAGCTTGCCCAGTTTCGACAAAGGAAAGCTCAATCTGATGGGCAGAATCCTTCTAAGAAGCAGAAAAAAAAGAGGAAAACTTCAAGCAGTAAACATGATGTGTCAACATACCATGCTTTGAATATTGAGCACTCACAGAGTGATGAAATGTACATAAATAGTTCTCAGAGGGTAGGAACAGCCGTGACTCCTGAATCCACAATAATCAAACGTGATGAGGTCTTCTCTGTTGAAGTAAGTATTCATCTAGATTTTTGAAAATTAGAAGTCTAAGTGGAAAGTTGTTGTAATGACAACACTCATTATTACCCTGTGCAGTTTTTGTGAGCTTAATTCAATAAACATTTATAGTACAACTATAATATAATACATCAAGGATTCAGCACCAAGGATACAAGGGTAAATATGACATTCTCTGCCCTTTAGGAAAGTCAGGTGGGGAAGGCAGATGTAAGATAGTCTGTGTATTCTGATTACAGCTATGGTAACAAAAATGCATATGGTACCCTAGAGTACCATGATTTGGGGGAATGCTAAATCGGCATAAGCTATCAGCAGAGAAGTAGCAAGGCAACCTCTGTGATAAAAAAGCAACATCCACAAGAACATGAAGCTATGATATGACTTGGAAACTGTAGGAAGTTTAGTTTTAAAAGCATCACAGAATGTTGGGGATGGGAGGATGGTAAAGGTGAGAGGCAGGAGATTGCACCTGGCCCATAGAAGACCCAAAATAAAGGCTGATTTTCTTCTTCTCTTTAATGGTGTGATTTTCCAGAATAAGGCGATGAGGGAGAATTTAAAAGTGGATTGGGATGGTGGATGGGTTGGAGCTACCAACTAAAACCACGAGTAGAGAAGGCTGGGATGCTTAGGAGAAAGAGTGGTGTGTGGGACAGGTAATAATTATAATTTAGAGTGTACCCTGACATATTTATATGGAAACAGAAAGATTTAGATAATATATAGGATTTGAGCTTTATTCAAAAGGTTTGGGATGTTAAAGATTAGCTAAGAGTGGATCTTTTTGATATTCTCCTGCTTAGAATTTGTTGAGCATCTTGGATATGTAGATTAGTGTTTTTCATCCAATTTGGGAAGTTTTCGGGCATTGTATCGTCAAATATTCTTTCTGCTCCTTTCTGTCCCCTCCTCAGGGTCTCCTATTATGCATGTTAGTATGTTTGATACTGTTGCACAGATCTCTCATGCTCTGTTCATTTTTCTTCATTCTTTTTTTTTAAAGATTTTATTTATTAAAAAAAAATATTTATTTATTTGACAGAGAGAGAACACAAGTAGGCAGAGTGGCAGGCAGAGGGAGAAGGAGAAGCAGGCTCCCCGCTGAGCAGGGAGCCCAATGCGGGGCTCGATCCCAGTACCCTGGGATCATGACCTAAGCCAAAGGCAGATGCTTAACCGACTGAGCCACCCAGGCGCCCCTCTTCATTCTTTTTTAATCTTTTCCTCAGACTGCATAATTTCAATTGAACTATATATTAAAGTTTGCTGATTCTTCACAGATCTGTTAAGCCCCCTGAAATGAATTTTTCATTTCAGTTATTTTACTTTTTTAAAAAATTATTTTTAAAAATTTTATTTTATTTTTTTAAGTAATCTCTACACCCCACATGGGGCTTAAACTCACAACCTCGCGATCAAGAGTCGCATGCTCCACCAACTGAGCCTGCCAGGTGCCCCTCTTTGGTTCTTTTATAGTGATGCTCTTTATTTTGTAAGGCAGTATCCTTATAGTTTTCTTCAGTATTTTAGATTTAATTTTATTCACTTATTTGACTCTATTTAAAATAGCTCAATTAAAGTTTTTGTATATGAAGTCCAATATTCCTCAGGGACCATTTCTACTGACTGTTGTTTTTCTTCTATATGGGCCATACTTTTCCTTTTTCTTTGTGTATCTTGTAATTGTTTGTTGAAATCTGGATCCTTTAAATGATGTAAAATGGCAACTCTGGTGCTTGACGTGGTTTGAAGATGTATTTGTTATCTTTTTCTGCATAACAAATCAATGTTTGGGCTTCTCACTAGAGTTTTAGCATTTCCAGTGCAAAGAGTGTCTTGTTCACCATTTCATCCTCGGTAACACAGTTTTTAGTACACAATATACATTTAATCTATAGTTGTTTAAAAGGCATAAGTGAATCAGCCATGAGGACTTAAGTCATGAAAGTATTTTAGATTTAAAAGAGGGTCATATAGGGGCGCCTGGGTGGCTCAGTCATTGAGCGTCTGCCTTCGGCTCAGGTCATGATCTCAGGGTCTTGGGATCGAGCCCTGCATTGGGCTCCCTACTCGGCAGGAGGCCTGCTTCTCCCTCTCCCACTCCCCCTGCTTGTGTTCCTTCTCTTGCTTTGTCTATTTCTGTCAAATAAATAAAAAATCTTTAAAAAAAAAAAAAAAAAAGAGGGTCATATAAGTTAGGAACCCCTATGACAGAATTTTAGGATAGGGGTAAGCTTATTTCTGTTCCTGGCATCAGTTACTACATCAGAGAGGAGGTAGACTTAGAACTTGGTATTGAGTGATGAATAAAATTTCCTTAAGTGTAGATGGGAAAGGAGACAGTGATGGTTCATATTTGTTGAATGAAAAGGTGAAATATCTAGGTCTCTTTTCTCACTTGTAAAGTGGGTGAACAGTGAAAGCAGTGAAAATTTAAGTTTCCTCCTTGAGGAAACTTCCTAGTGGTTCTGAACTGAGGGAACCTCTTTCTAGTGGTTCTAAACTAAGGGAAGCTCAGAAAAGCCACTCACTTCATACCCAAATCCCAGGGTTGTAAGAATAAAACAGGAATGTCTTAGTAAGTGTTTTATAAGCTGCAGAGGTGTTAGTAACAATGAAGATTGTTGGGCGCCTGGGTGGCTCAGTTCGTTAAGCGACTGCCTTCAGCTCAGGTCATGATCCTGGAGTCTCTGGATCGAGTCCCGCATTGGGCTCCCTGCTCGGCAGAGAGTCTGCTTCTCCCTCTGACCCTAACCCCTCTCATGTGCTCTCTCTCATTCTCTCTCTCTCTCAAATAAATAAATAAAATCTTTAAAAAAAAACAGTGAACATTGTTATTTTTCTTCAAGTTCTTACTACTTTTCTAGCATCAAGATTTGGTGGGGTTTTTTTTACCCTTTTTTTTTTTTTTTTTTACTTTTCTAGCATCAAGATTTGGTGGGGTTTTTTTTACCCTTTTTTTTTTTTTTTTTTAAAGTAATCTCTAAGCTCATGTTCTACCAACTGAGCCAGGCACGCTGATGATTTTTCTTTTTGAAGAAATTGAACTCTTTTGAGTAACATTTTAAGACTTTCTTTTATTTAAAAGAGACATAAGAATTAGAGGGATGATATCTTATTTGGTGCTTGTCTTACAAATGATTTGTAATGTATATAAGACCCGGTGTGAAAGTACCTCTTGATATGTTTACATTTAGAAAAATGCTTTATGATAAATGTCAGGTGTGTTAGTTAGCTATTGTGATTCATAGAGTGAAAATTTTATAGGTTTAGGGGCGTATGGCTGGCTCAGTTGGTAGAGCATGTGACTTTTGATCTCAGGGTTGTGAGTTCAAGCCCCATGTTGGGCACAGAGCTTACTTTTAAAAAAAATGAATAAAATAAAATCCACATACTTAAAGTTTTTTTTTAAAATGCTTGAATAATTTTGCTAGTTTTTTAGTGATATTTTTATATGAATTTTCTATCATATGTTACTAATAGTAATGGGTTAATGAAGTACAATGTTTGGCGGGGGAGGGGAAGGCTTTAATGTAATTGGTTTTTATTTTTGTTTTAGCCAGAAAGTGAGATTTCAACTACGGCAGATGATTATAGTTCAGAGGTAAGAATGAGTAATATTATGTAGATTAACTTTTTATGTATTATTTTTGAAACATTAATCCTTTATTTCTCGCAACTCACCTGCTTATGTATTTTTATAAATATAATGAAGTATAGCATAACAAAATACAATGTAAATGACCTAGAAAACCTGAAGGTTATGTTTTTCTCTCTGTATTTTTTTCAGATTATTAACTAAGGTCTTAAATCTGTTTGAATAGCTTGGGCCTTAATTAGAGGCCTTTAAGTTTCTAGGAAAATGATATTGAGATTTAGGATTAATTATCATCATAAGGTATCCATATTCAACACAGTAAATATTTCATTATACATATACTATTTCACATTGTGAGTGATGCTTTTTACAAATGCTTTAATTCTATATAATTACATAAATTCATTTGTTGAAATTAATGCTGCAATAGTGATTTTTAATTTAGGTGATAAAAGCTAATGTAGGCATTGGCCACATTAGGAAATACCTTCTTTATGTATTATTAATAAATATATGTCATATTGTTATCTTTTTCTTATTGTTTTAGATATCATTATCATTTCTTTGGTCCAGAATTTGAGGATATGGAAAATTATTCCTTGCTCTGAATGGTTCAGCAACTCAGTGTATTCCATAAGTTTTGATATATTGTAGGTTTCTAATACCAAAAAAAAAAAATCATGTTCTAAGTGAACAGACTACTGTTTTGAATTGCAAATGGGAGTAAAAACTCTGATACTTCAAAAGTTTAATGTGCTTAAAAGCTGGGAATATACTTATTGGTAGTTTGGTCAAGAAGATAATTAACAAGGGTTGAATAAATAAATTGGTACCTGATTTACATTACATAAAGTTGCCTATAGGGAAAGTATCTCAATTTAAAATCACGACTTGCAGGGGTGCCTCGGTGGCTCAGTCGTTAAGCATCTGCCTTCAGCTCAGGTCATGATCTCAGGGTCCTGGGATCGAGCCCCACATCGAGCCCTGCATCGGGCTCCCTGCTCCGCGGGGAACCTGCTTCTCCCTCTCCCACTCCCCCTGCTTGTGTTCCCTCTCTCACTGTGTCTCTCTCTGTCAAATAAATAAATAAAATCTTTAAAAAAATAAAATCACGACTTGCAATTCAGAGAATCTGGCCTTGTGACTTTAAATTTGGGGCTTCTTTATGAAAGCAACACTGCTTTTTTTCTTTCTATAATGGCTGTAGTCTTTTTAAAAAAATTAAGGAGGGCACGTGTTGTGATGAGCTCTGGGTGTTATAACAACTAATGAATTGTTGAACACTACATCAAACACTAATGATGTACTGTATGTTGGCTAACTGAACATAATTAAAAAATTATTTTTATTCATTATTTTTAAATTGAAGTATAGTTGATAGAGACTATTAGTTTCAGGTGTACAACGTGGTAATTTGACATTGATATATGTTACAAAATGCTCCCACAGTAAGTGTAGTTACTGCCTGTTACCATGCAAAATTATTGTAATATTAACTATATTCCCTATGTTGTGGGATATTCCACATCCCTGTGGCTTATTTATTTTATAACTGGAAGTTTGTACCTCTTACTCCCTTATGCCTATTTCACCCATCGCCCTACGTTCCCTCTCCACTGGCAACTACCAGTCTAGTCTGTGCTCTACGTTTATGAGTCTGTTTCTGTTTTGTTCATTTATTTTGTTTTTTAGATTCCACATGTAAGTGAAATCATACGGCATTTGTCTTTCTCTGACTTTTTAAAAAATATTTATTTATTTATTTATGTGATCTCCACAGCCAACGTGGGGCTCAAATTCATGACCCCAAGGTCAAGTGTCAGATGCTCTACCTACTGAGCTAGCCAGGTGCCCCTTTCTCTGATTTATTTCACTTATCCATGTTGTCACAAATGGCAAGATTTCATTTGTTTTTATGGTTGAGTAATTTTCCATCATATATAGACAGATGCGCACACACATATATATATATGTCACATCTTCTTTATCCATTCATCTACTGATTGATACTTAGGTTGCTTCCATGTCTTGGATATTGTAAATAAAGCTACAATAAACACAGGGGTGCAATATATCTTTTCAGATTGGTGTTTTCATTTTTTTCAGATAAATACCCAGAAATATAATTAATGGATCATATAGATCTATTTTTAATTTTTAGAGGGACTGCCATACTGTTTTTCATAGTGGCTGCACCAATTTACATTCCCACTAATAGTATACAAGGGTTCCCTTTGTCCCACAACTCACCAACACTTGTTATTTCATGTTTTTTTTTAAATAGCCATTCTGACAAGCATGAGGTGATATATCATTGAGGTTTTAATTTGCATTTCCCTAATGATGAATGATACTGAGCATCTTTTCATGTGCCTGTTGGTCATGTTTATATCTTCTCTGGAAAAATGTCTATTCAGGCCCTCTGCTCATTTTTTAATTGGATTGTTTGGCTGTTTCCTTTTTTTGCTTTTCTTTCTTTCTTTCTTTCTTTTTTGGGGTTGAGTGCTATGAGTTCTTTTTATTAAATTTATTTTTTTATTTTTTAAAAATTTTATTAAGTTTTTTACTTTAACATAGTTAACATACAGTGTTAATATTTGGTTTCAGGTGTATAATATAGTGATTCATCAATTCTAAACATTACTCAGTGCTCATCATGATAAGTGTACTCTTTAATCCCTATCCCCTCTTTCACCCATCCCCCCCACCCTTCTCCCCTGTGGTACCCATCAGTTTATTCTCTGTAGTTAAGAGTCTGTTTCTTCGTCTCTCTCTTTTTCCCCTTGGTCATTTGTTTTATTTCTTAAATTCCACATATGAGTGAAATCATATTGCATTTGTTTTTCTCTAACTGACTTACTTCACCTGGCATTATACACTCTGCTGTGAGGTTTTTTTTTATATATATATTTTGGATATTAACTTTTTTTTTTTTTTTAAAGATTTATTTATTTATTTGAGAGAGAGAGAGCACGAGCAAGGGGGAGGAACAGGGAGCCTGACCTGGGGCTCGATCCCAGGACCTGAGATCGTGACCTGAGCCGAAGGCAGATGCCCAACCCACTGAGCCACCCAGGTGCCCCGAATATTAACCTTTTAATGGATATGTCATTTACAAATATCTTTTCTCATTTAGTAGGTTGACTTTTAGTTTTGTTGATGGGTTCCCTTAATTGTGCAAAAGTTTTTTAGTTTGATGTAGTTTCAGTTGTTTATTTTTGCTTTTGTTGCCCCTGCCTAACAAGACAGATCCAAAAATACATTCCTAAGACTGAGGTATAAGAGTTTACTCCCCATGTTTTCTTTTAGGAGTTTTATAGCTTCAGGTCTTTAAACCAATTTGAGCTTATTTTTGTATATGGTGTAAGAGTGGTTTCATTCTTTTGCATGTAGCTGTCCTGTGTTTTCAGCACCATTTATTGAAGAAACGGTCTTTTCCCCATTGTGTATTTTTGCTTCCTTTGTCATAGATTAGTTACCATATAAACATGGGTTTTTTCCTAGGCTCTCAGTTCTGTTCCATTGATTTATGTGTCCATTTGTGTGCCAGTACCATACTGTTTTGATTACAGTAGCTTTGTAGTATGGTTTGAAATCTGGGACTGTGTTCCCTCCAACTTTGTTCTTTCTCAAGATTACTTTGGGTATTTGGGGTCTTTTGTGGTTCCATACAAATTTTAAGATTATTTGTCCTAGTTCTGTGAAAAATGCTATTGGTATTTTGATAGGGATTGCATTGTATTTGTAGATTGCTTTGAGTAGTATGGATATTCTAACAATATTAATTCTTTCAACCCATGAACATGGTATATCTTTCCCTTTATTTGTGTCATCTTTGGTTTCTTTCATCAGTGTCTTATAGTTTTCAGAGTACAGGTCTTTCACCTCCTGGGTTAACTTTATTCCTAGATACTTTATTCTTTTTTGATAAAATTGTAAATGGGATTTTCTTAATTTCTCTGCTAGTTTATTATTAATGTATAGAAATGCAACAGATTTCTGTATATTAATTTTGTGTCCTGCAACTTTACTAAATTCATTTATTAGTTCTAAAGTTTCTTAGTGGAGTCTTTAGAGTTTTTATATATAGTATCATGTCATCTGCACATAGTGACTGGGCTGCAACTGCTATGGGTACACTGGTGGGTAGGGCTGGCCCCAACATGGCTGACTAAGAGGACTGGCTGCAGCTGCTTCAAGTATGCTGGTGGGTGGAGTTAGGATGCAGTGTGACTTGGCTGGGGGGCTCGGTGTCCACGGTCATGGGCATGCAGGTGGGTGGGACTCCCTAGAGCAGGAGTCACTTCGGAAGGGCCCTTGCCAGGGCAGTCAGGTTGGTTAGAATGATTCTGCAGGGGAACATCAGGGCAGGGTGAGTGGTGCTAGGAAGAGTGTCCGAATGGGGGCCCACCAGTGTCAAGCCAGCTGGGCTGAAGGAGGGCAAGAAAAATAGTGCCTGCCAGCACTTCCATTCCCAGAGAAAGTTTTGCAGATCCTTGCCCCTGTGGCACAAGCCCTAAAATTAATAAATCTCCATCACATAATATAGTCCAGGCGCTTTTCAAACTGCTATCTCTTGGCTGGGTCTCTGAGTGGATGCTGGTGTACACTTATTGGCCTTTTTAAGAGTGGAGTATTGGTTTCTTATAGCCCTCCACTCTCCCAGAGTTAAGCTGATTTAAATCCAGATACTTATGGAGGCTCATATTCCCAGTGCAGATCGACAGGAAGAGGGGTGCCCAATGTGGGGCTTAAGCCCCTTGCTCCTCAAGGAGGACCTTCACACCTGTGATATCTCTCTTGCTTGTGGGTTGCCGCATGGGAGGTTTAGTTTCTGATTGCATCTCTGCCCCTCCTACCCTTCTCGATGTGGCTTTTTCTTTCTATCTTTAGCTGTGGAAGAGCTGTTCTGCTAGTCTTCAGGTCGTTCTCAGTGAGTTGCAGTATATGTAGTTGCAGCCTTGGTGTGTTCGTGGGGAGAGGTGAGCTCAGGACCCTCCTACTCG